AAAAGTGTTTGCATAAGGTATTTTTAAGGAACTCTATGGGTCGAAAATGAAATTATCATTCCATCTAGAAGGTCGTTTAGTTGGCGTATTTAAAGAGGCCATTAGTTATTTCTATAAGGATATTGGCATATTGATTTAGGATCCTAGGCATTAAATTTTTATGTAATTTGTCATATTAATTAAACATCTTATACTGACATGTGTGATCCACATGACGCACTGCTGTAACGTTTTCAGACGCCCTACGTATTTATATGGCAAAAAGTCAACAAACGCGAGCAAGTTACGATTTATGTGGGATTTGTTTTATTTTTTTATTTTTCTTAAATGAAATAAATCAATAAATGTGAAAATATTAAAATGGGAAATTGAGCAATCAAATACATATAAACAATTACTTTAAAAGAAATTATATATATTTTTTATAATTTTTTTTATTTATCCTCGCTCATTTTCATTAAGAAAAAATTAAATAAGCTCGCGTATTTTATTTCTGTTTATTTTCCAGCTCAAGTTAAATAGTGACAAATGTTATATTTTAAGATATTTATAATTATTTCAAACGGATATTTATCTTTTATTAAATGTGATATATGTTAACATTTGGTATGGGTAGGACCGTAGATGATGAGTATGAAGAAAAATATAAAATTATATTTAGTTTATTTGAATTTAATAATAATAAGACAAAACTGTAAAAATAGTTATTGTGGTATGCATTTTTTTCGAGTTTTGCTCCAAATCTCAACTTTCGTGGATTGATGGTCCTTTTATGCATATTTGTTTGCAGTTTTGGTCTATGTTCAATGTAAAAAGACTAGTATACCTTTTTTTTTAACATCCATAAAATTTCTTAAAATTTAAACTTTTTAAAACGACCATTTTTCAATAGAAGTGTTTACAAAACCCATTAATTCCAAAACATTATTTAAAAATCAGAACCTTTTTCAACATAGTTTCAAAACGTTCACATTATCAGAGTTTTCCAGAAATCATAAGCCCAAAGCGCGAGGATGTGTACGATCACACCTTCACCTTATCATGATCCACTGAAGTACCTGAAACCATAAACCAAAACGGTAAGCACGAATCTTAGTGAGTTCCCCCAAAGTATCACCACAACACATAATCATGAACATAACAACAAACAACATGCATACAGAGCCTTCAGCCCAACTGGACCGCTTCACCTGGTCTTTAGCCTATCTAGACTGCTTACATAACCTTCAACATGACCGAACCGTTCTCCAGGCCTTTGTCTTGACTGGTACTCCCTATTGGCCTTCAGTCTATCTAGGACGCCTTGGGTCTGTTGGCCTTCAGTACTAACCAGGTCTGCCTCAACCGAACCAAACAACGATGTCGACATACACATAATAGATAAGCAGACATATAACATATCGATATAAATATTACAGGGTTTGTTGATTGGCAGCACAAAGTAGTACAGTCTCAACCCAACCACACTACATCAACACATGCTACTGGAAAACATATAGCCAGAACACATAACAGGCAGATCTAACAGATCACTAAGCATAACATTATCATATCAACATGGATACCGATCTAATAGATCACTATAGCATGCCAACATTTTATTTACCAGGATATCGATCTAACAGATCATTACAACATGGCAACATCCTATCCAAGATACCGATCTAACAAATCACTACATTATACAAGCATACGACAAACCAATATAATAATCCAAAGGGCTTGCCTTGGTGCCTTCGAACCATAAGTACAGTGAGGAAAACTCACCTCGTACTACCGAATACACAGACAATCTGTAGCACCTGGTTCCTGGTATGTAAATTTTATTTGAGTATTTCCCATTTTAGCCTTGGACTCGGCGAGTCATAGGTCCGACTCGCCGAGTAGGGACGAGACTCAGGACACGTTTAAGTTGGCGACTCGGCGAGTCCATATCCTGGACTCGGCGAGTCACCGCTGCTGGATGAAACCCTAAATTTCAAGGGTTTGCACCCTATTTAAACCCTCATTTCCGCCCCAAACTCGCCCCCATTCACCCTCAGAGCTCCCAACATCGTTTATACCCTTATTTCCTTAAGAGATTGAAGTGTTTTGGTGTGTTCTTGAAGATTTTGAGGAGAAAGAAGAGTAGATCAAGAAGAGGAGAAGGAGGCCAGGCATCTTTGTGTCATCTCAACGTTTTCCTTGAGGTATAGCTCGTTTCCCCTCTGCTTTCAAGCTTGTAGTCTCTTTTAGCTTCATGGAACTCCTTCTTGAGCCATTCCCCAAGCTTGTTTGTGCATTGTGGGTTGTAATAAGTTGTTAGCCTTTAGAGCAAGGCATGATTTAGTCCTTGGAGCTTGGATCTAATGCCTTTATGGGGTCATATTGCATGAAAGCCCTAAATCTACCCCTTTTGGTGCACTTTGAGCCCTAAAATCCATATTGGTGAATATCCACACGTAAAGTTGGAAACTTTACGTGTGATTCGTGTCTTAGAAGCCCATATCTATGAATGGCATGGACTGAAATCGAACAAATCTGTGTATTTAATGGATGCATGGCGACGACTCAGCGAGTCGTTCATGTGACTCGGCGAGTCTGCTCGCGAGTCACCGAATTGGTCCCTTTATGCTGTATCGAGTTTGAGCAGTGAGTCACAGGGGGTGACTCGGTGAGTTGGAAGCTGAACTCACCCATGGTAGGACTCGGCGAGTCATGGCCTGGCTCGACGAGTCCAAGGCAATCTTCATAGATCAAGAACAGACTCGGCGAGTTGTTCATACAACTCGGCGAGTCTAAGCATGAGTGTTCATCGGATGAAGATGAACTCGACGAGTTGTTCATACAACTCGGCGAGTAGGACGAAGAACTTCAATGTCAGTTTAGAAGAAGAACTCGTCGAGTCATAGCCTAACTCGACGAGTAGAATCAGGGACTCAGGACAATCGTCTGGATAGGAACTCGGCGAGTTGGTGAGCCAACTCGGCGAGTCGGGTCAACTGAAAGTTGACTCTGACTTGGACTCAGGGCTAGACCTGGGGTGAAATGGTCATTTTACCCAAAGGACAGTTAGCAGTGTTTGATTGAGTATGTTGTGGGAATTGCAGCCGGAGGATTTCCGGAGCAGCAGCAGCAGTCAGTCAGTTCCCGATCAGTTCAGCAGCTACTTTGAGGTGAGTTACCTTCCAGTAGTGGTGGGTCTAAGGCCACAATGTCGTCCCACCAGTAGGAGACGTATGATAGATGATTGTCTTTGTGATATCACCTGGGTTTGCTATTACCTGATATGTTATATGCTAGCATGATACGTTATATGCGATAGTAGTAGAGTTCGGTTGTTAGGACTGCAGGGTAGTCAGACACCCCAGAAATGTCTGACAGTATGTGATGATATGTTTGTATGTTGGCCTGTTATGTTATGCGATAGAGGTAGTAGGAGGGGACCAGTCCCCGAGGATCGGTTGTTAGGACCGATGGGTAGTCAGCACCCCAGAATGGCTTGACATGGGTAGTCAGCACCCCAGAATGGCTTGACACGGATCGGACGGCACCCCAGAATGGCCGTATGGGTAGGTCGGCACCCCAGAATGGCCGTACCGGGTAGTCAGGCACCCCAGAATAGCCTGGCAGTATGCATGTTATGTGTTTGTATGGTATGTGGTACGTTGGGGGAACTCACTAAGCTTTGTGCTTACATTTTACAGTTTTGTTTTCAGGTACCTCTTCACCGAAGGGGAAGGAGCTGGCGCGGTAGCGGCACATCATGCACACACTCTGGTTTCCACATTTACGAGATTCACTGGGATTTGTACTCTGATATTTTGATGGGTTGTATGGTTTGGCTTTTAGACATGGTTTACGTTATGTTATGGTTTGATCAAACAATGTTTTTAATTGCTAATGTTTTCTAAAGTAATGTTTTCGAACGAAATTTTCGGACGTGAAAATTGGGTTGTTACAAGTTGGTATCAGAGCCCTGGTTTGAGGGATTCGAACTCACCTTCGGAGGTGTCTGAACTCAAATCTAGGGATTAAAAGAATCACTACTAGAAAAACAGCCTTTTACGATGCACAATGAATGGCACGCGCTAATAGAGGACCCGCATTTGTGAGTGCCCTAAAAATTGATGTCAGATTTCCAAAATATGAAGCATAGTAGACACGCATTTTTGCGTGCCAAAAATTAGTGTCTAATAAAAAAACCACGGAGGGCACCTTAAATAAAACGTGCGTCGTCTAGCTATGTCGCTTTATAAATATTAATGAAACATGCGTTTCATCCAAGGGGGAAATGAAATCCAAAATTTAAAAAGTCGGCTTTGTTTCCACCGGCTGAAAACCCTAACTCATTCCCGCTGAAAACCCCCTTTCTTTCTTTCTTCTCTCTCGATTCTCAAACCTCCACCACTTCACTTTCCACAAGTTCGCATCTTCGTCGCTTATTCATACAGAATTCAACAATTTCTATGGTTTCGATTATTGGGTAAGGTACATGGAGGTGTAATCGTTTTGGACTCTTTACTAATTGACTTGAAATTGAACCCTAAAAACTCAATTCACACTTCAAACTTCACTGATCCTCTCTTCTTCCACTCCCCAATCTCTGATTCCACTCCAATCGAGCTCTACGGAGACTTTGATTGGTGGTAATCAATTTGCACCATCACCTCCTTGTTCGTTCCTAAAATAAAGACCTTAGAACAGTATCCACTCCCCAATCTCTGATTCCACTCTAATCGGTTTGTCTCTTAAAAATCAAATCGTTCATTAAGGTGTACTTGACCTTGCTATGTATATCCTTTTTTTTTTTTTGAAGAGAATGGATCGGTTGTGCTTCAGCAAGGAGTAGGTCGCCTCATAAATTCAATAGGTACTGTTCTTGGTCTTGTATGTGTTGAATTCTCGATTTCTTTTTTAATCTGGTTTCCTATCACGTGAAACTTTCAATTTGCCTCTATAATCAAATAAAGCTTCAATTAGAGATATTATTCGCTAGTTACTAATCAGATCTGATCCATATGATTGCTAATGGTCATAGCATGGGCGGATTATGTATAGGGCCAGGAGGGGCTTTGGCCCCCTGGTATTTGGGCTAGAAATAGCAAATATATCTTCAAAAATTTTAATTATAGGCCTGTTAGTGTAGAAATTGGGCTGTGCCCCTTCCGATTTCAGTCTGATTTCCAAAGCTAGCGACAAGAAGTCAAAATCGATTTGTATCTTACGTTGTTACCCAGTTCGTCCCCCATCGTCGCTAGTCGCTACCTCCTTACCTTGCTCAGTCGCTGCTCGTTGGTCTCGCCATTCACCACCACAACAGCTGTCACCGGAAATCAGGTATGTTCTTCTCCTGTTCTCCCGTTCTCTCAATCTCTTGGATTCAGCTCTTCTTGAAATTGGAATATTAGAATTAGAAATTAGAGTTTACAAATCTGAAAATTTCATAAAGCTCCTGCTGTAGCAAATCTGAAAATTTCATAAAGCTTCTTGAAATTGGTCTCGCCATTCACTACCCTTCTATCACTTGAACTTGTTGCATCTGGTGTTCCATGTTGCAGGTGTGTTATATCTTTGTTCAAAATTGAATTTCACATTCTAAACTTCCTTTAGAAAATCTCATACGGGATGTTCTTAATAGAAGATGTGCTCCTTATGATTTCATTAGCCTTCCACACAAGGTCAGTTTAGGACATAAATTATGCTATTATTTTCCCTTTGATAGTGTTTATAAGGTCAGTTTAGGACATAAATTATGATATTATTGAAACAGTTGATCTTTGCCTTAATAAATTCCATAAAATTTGTAATTAATAGTTATCTCAATTCATAGATGCAACATTATAAACTCAGGTGGGGACAATGGCTGGAGGAGCTACAGATTGTCAGTTTTGGCACATAAATTTAGGAATTAAGGTATTAAAATCACCTTTTTACATATCACAACCTTCTAATTTGAAATATTCTACGCAATATTTGTATTTTTTTTAATTTCAGTGTTGTTTGCATGAATTGGCAAACAAGAGTAGGATTTCAGTGACTGGTGCTTCAAAGATGCTTGCCAACATTCTCTATTCTTACCGTGGGATGGGTTTTTCTGTTGGGGCAATGATTGCAGGATGAGATGAAAAGGTCTATATAATACAATACCCTTTATATGTATATCATGAAAATATTAAAAATGAAGGGCAAAACAGTTATTTTATGTCTGCGTTACTTTTTTGGTAGGGCTCTGGTCTGAATTATGTAGACAGCGAAGGCGGACGTCTCAAGGGAAATAAATTCTATGTGGGATCTGTTTCATTGTACTTTTTTTTGTAGGGCTCTGTTCAATCTAAAAGAAGCCTTCTGCTTGAACTACAACAAAGATCCACAAAATTTGATTCTATAATTGAAAAGCATCAGAATATTAGGTATGGAACTGTGGATAGTAATTTTGATAATTTTTAATACAAAAGACTGAAGTGAAGTAATTAGTAATGGTATGTGAAGGTTTGCACTGGTTGAAAGGATGCCAGTTCTTGATGAAGCAAATTTCAGTAGAAGGAGGAATGGTTCTACTTCTATTCCTTCAACTTCAATGGGAAGTAGTGTTCCTAATGGAGTTATTAAAACAATTGCTGCTCCTTTAGTAGACTTGCTTGATTTAGGAGGAGGAGAAGAACCTCCTCCACCAAATACAAATAGCATGATGACAGGTGAAAACTTTCTTCAAGATCTTCTTGATGTTGGAATGTCCCCATCTTCATCACAACCAGGTTAGCTTTAGATTCAAATCATATCAGTTTGTTTCTCTTATTGAAAATTGAAATCATATTCTTGTGTGTGTGTATATATATTTCATAAGTAACATATGGCATTTTTACTTTTGTTTGTTTCAAATTCAGTTACAAATGCAAACCAGGCTAAAAAAAAGTGGCATTAATGTTCTGCTTGATCTAGCTATTAGGCTTTCTACAATTGTAGTTGTTATTATCTTTGATTAATCAAATAGAAGACAAGGTATCGTAGCATTCTCTTAATTTTGATTGCTTTTTGTCTCATGATTATGCTTTACATCATTAACTTTAAAGTTTTTGGAAGTTTAGTTTAATTATCTTGAAGATAAAATCATGAAGTATTCAAAAGCCATGGTTGCATCTTAGCTTTATGAGGAACCTGTTGATCCATCGGTTGCTTCCCAAGTAATTCCTATCTCTATTTTATTAGAATTATTCTTTTCTTTTTTTATCATCTTTGAAGAGATTCAACAACACAAATTACATCTCTTGATTCCCTATCAGAAAAGTATATTTGCTGTTGGCATGATTTGCTGTGAAGAAGAAGGGCGTTTAAAGGAAAAACCAATCATTCTTCAAAGCAGGTAATATTTGTTGAATCTTTATGCTCTTTTCAGACATATTTGCCCTTACTGTTGTCCTTTTTTACTTGTTTGAACAGAGTTGAGCATTCTGGAGGTCAACATGTGTGCCTTGACTTACAAAAACTGGACCAGTTTTCCTTTTTCCCAGGCCATGTAGATAGTTAAAAAATGGAAACTGATAAAAAAAACATCTAACATAAACATAATTCGATAGGTGGCAGGCATTGAAGGACATAATCCAAGTGGGCACAATTTAATTGCAAAAAATATTGTTGATTATGTACCGTTATCAGTCCCTGATGATGAAAATATTCCTCAAAAGAAGAGACAAGCTATGGATGAAAATAACAAGCCTGCTGATTTATCTGATATAACATCAGATCTATCATTAGTGTGTAAAGCTTGTTCTTCAATTTACTAAAGTACCCTTTTAAGTTTACTATATGGTTTCTCTCTGATTCTATCCATGTCATCTTTGAGCAGATTATTGCTTCAGGGCCTTACATCGTCTATACAAAGGGACCAAAAGTGTAAACTACTCTAAGTATTGGATGACTAAGAAGTTTTAGAACTGTATCTTTTGATTGTGCAACCTGCTTTTGATATGAATATAGCTGATCAAGATTGACATATAACCTACATTACAAATCCATGAATGATCTCAACAAATAAGGTAAGTGTTGTTATTTGGATGATATTTAAAAATGTAAGTTGAGAAATTTTAATAACTGAGTGAAAAAAATATCGGTGAAAGTAGGACGCTATAGTGTGGATGTCCTGAAAGACTTAGTATGGATGTAGTGTCACTTGGGATCAAGATTCGCATGAATAAACTAACAAACCATATGCTGAGTCGACACATGCATGTTTTCAAAATCCGAATAATATTTTTCTTTTTGCTTTTTTCTTAATTTAATATTTTTACGTTTGTGACAACATCTTTTATCCTCTGTACCCACCCGTGGAAGACACTCTTGTGGACTTGTCGCTTGCTCCAAAAGCCCCTTCAAAATCGTCGATGGTCCCACTAGCTTCGCTGTCGGAAATCCAGGTATTTCTCACTTCATATTGATACTAAATTGAATTTACAACCCCTGTAAAAGCAAAACTATTTATACTATGATCACAATTGATCAGAGTCTTCTTAATGATGGATTGATAATAATCTTTCTAATTCAGTCACTGCTGCATTGGATAAACAAGAATTTAAATGTTTTTTTTAGCTATGTTAACTGATTACATTGTGTGTAGATGTTAATTAGGTTTTATGATCGAATTTTTCATTTTGAGTTTTAAAGTTAACTGCTTACGATAAATACCTTGTGAAACTGCTGTAAAAATGAACCGTTACTAAACAAATTGGAGATTTGTTTTTTTATAATCCAAAATCACATAAAAGAATTGAAAAACACATCTGATCACCTGCACAGATTGAGTGTAAAGATGAAGGATTATGACTTTAGTTGTGCTTGTTCAAATGCTTTCAGATGAAATTGCAAAACTTTTCCCATCCCTGTTTGGGCAACCATCAGCAATATTGGTGCTAGGTGAATCTAATGAATCACGATATGCCTTGAAGATAGGAGTTGTGTTGTCAAGAGGACAAGCACAAGGAGGGCATAATGTTATACATCTGGGATTTTTGGTTAGCATTTTGAACTTCCATTTCCTATTGTTCATATTTTTCATACTTCATATGATAGATTGAAGGATTGACTAGTAAACATCATCAATATTGGTTCCAGGTGAATCTAATTAGTAAAGAAAGTTGAAGGATTGACTAGTAAACATAAAAGTAGAATGAAAATGACAAGTGATTTTGTGATGTGTTTGCAGGGTTGATGAAAGCGAATAGCTCTCGAGTTAGAAGTGGAAAAGAAAGCTCAAGCCGAAAGAGATAAGATGCTGAAAATGCAATTGTTGTATTCTTCATTTCAATAGTTAGTATGAAACATAGAGTAGATTAGATGAATGCAAATTTATATATTGTAAGAAATAGAATTGTATGACATTAAAGTTTATTCAATGGATTGTATTCTTTTGTATATGGTATTTTATTTCTATTATGACACATTAAATGCAAATTTAATTTAAAAATTAATAAATATATAAATATATATATTTTTAAATATTTAAATTTACGATACGAAAAAATGTGTGTCATCTTCATTTATGACATGACCTTTCTTGACAAGGGCTTTCTTGATACGCATTGCGTGTCATTAGCACATGCGTCGTAAGGTTACGACACGCGAATGCGTGTCGTCTTCCTTTATGACAGGGCCTTCCTTGATACGCATTGCATGTCGTAAACGTGCGTCGTAATTGCGCGTCGTCTCTCTTTATGACAGGGCCTTCCTTGACGCGCATTTGCGCGTCGTCTGAGCCTTTTACGACGCGCAATGAGCGTCGTAAAAGGCTGTTTTTCTAGTAGTGAATTTTTTTAAAGAAAATGATTTCTAACAAGGAGAAAAGAGTTTAAGAAATAACAAAAGTGTGTGTGATGTGCGCGACCGGCCGAGCTCAAGTAAGTATTCCCCAAAGTACCCATACCAGTTTATGTTATGTTTATCAGCTTTTGTAGAACAGCATGCTAGAATAGGACTAAGGATCTAGGAATGATGCCTTATGTGCCTGCCTTATGTGTTCCACCTATATGTGAATTGCATGCTTGTATAGTGTAGACAGCGGTAGGGTAGCCTGTTAGGGTATGCCTGGTAGTATGAGCTAACACGGTGTGCTAGTTCAGTTCCTCTCTATGAGAGCGGAATTGTTTGAAGTCGTTTCCCTTGTCCAAATGCTGCTTGCTTCGTGCTACGTGGGACTCCGAATAATGGGAACTAGCCATTAGGCGAATACGTCACACCACATGTGATCAGAGTTGAATAATCTTAGAGTACTGGATTTGATCCTACTGCGTAGCTCTTGTTTGAGTCCAACCGTTGTAGGGACGAGTCGGGTACTCGAAGGATTATCTGAGTCTCATCACATGTGATGGTGTTCGGGTGATGGCTAATTGGCATTACAAGGAGGCCTGCAGCAGCTGAGGATTGAATCGAGTAGAGCCGGAGATTTCCCTAGGGCGAATCTGGGATGAGTATAGTAGTAACCAGCCTTAGTGTAAGGGATCTGGTGGAGTCGAGACAGTCCTTGAAGAAGGTACGGATAGATGTGGAAGGTAGTATGGGCCCGTACTACTGAAAGCAGAGGATCCGTACCCGAACCAAGGAAGGCCAAGACAAGACCAGGGAACTTGTAAGTGGCTATGATCCCTCAGGGAGCATCAGTATATCTAATGATTGTTGTGATGTATTGCAGAATGGTGGTACTTCGATCGAGGCCGGTGGACGGCGGTTCTGGAGAGGGGTCAGGTTCCGAGCCGGTAGATGAGGGACTACATGAGTTCATCGCATCAGAGATCACCAGGGGTATCCTTGAGTCGAATCCCATTATCTTCGGGTCGATCAAGGAAGGGATCATGGAGTTGATGGAGGATCGCCTGCGGGCATTCAGGAGCGATTTGGCATCTGGCTAGTCGGGGTCACGCACACTGTCCTTCAAGGACTTCAGGGGCAGTGGTGCGCCGGATTTCCATGGGGTAAAGGACCCCATTGCTGCCAGACGATGGATTGCAGACATCGAGTCTACACAGTTGACTAGCTTCTGCCCCGAGGGGTCGAAGGTGAGATATGTAGTGGGGTGTTTACGGGACCGAGCCCAGGATTGGTGGGAGTCAGTGGGTGACTCGTTGGGAGCCTCAGCTATCGAGGCTATGACCTGGTCGGACTTTGTGACCAGGTTCAGGGCAGAGTTTGCGCCGGCTATCGCGCTTCAGCAGCTGGCCAGGGAGTTTCTGGATATGAGACAGACGACGGAGACTGTGGTGGAGATCAGCGCCAAGTTCTGGGAGAGGGCTTTATTGGTGCCCCAGTATGCTGGTGACGAGGATATGATGAGGACTCGTTATCACGATATGCTTCGAGCTGACATGCGGGAGCATGTTAGCTTTTTGTCTTGCCCTACCTTGGACTCTATGATCGCCAGGGCGAGGGAGAGGGAGATAGATTTGGAGCACATCTAGAAACGGAAATTAGAGGAGGGACAGGCAGGAGGGGCTTCGGGGAAGAAGCCCAAGGGATCATATGGTAGGCCGAAAGGCCAGTCAGGACCGGGCCGCTGCAGGAAGTGCGGCAGGCCGCACGAGGGGGCGTGCAGGATGGGATCATCAGGCTGCTACAAGTGCGGCAAGTTTGGGCACATCAGCAGGGATTGCACTGCTCCTGCAGTAGTTATTCAGACATCGGAGTTGCTGTGTTTCCACTGCAACCAGAGGGGCCACAAGAAGGCCAATTGCCCCCTGTTGACAGTTTCAGCACCGGTAAAGGCACCAGCTCTAGCGACTCTGCAGATCACGGATGGCCGACAGGGCAAGGCAGAGGCTCCGGTGGTGAGGATCCGAGCATTCCAGCTGACTACCGAGGAGGCACGCGCCGTGCCCGATGTGGTGACGGGTATGATTCTTTCCTTCTATCTTTTGTTTTATGATGTTATGATATTGATATGTGCTCCGTGTGTATATATATGCATTAGGATCGTTCCATGTGAACGGCATCCCAGTTCAGGTATTGTTCGACTCGGGTGCATCCCGATCGTTCGTTTCTCTTGCGCTTAGCAAGAGGTTTCATGAGACTTCAGGCGAGTTAGATTGCCCGTTAAAGGTAGAGATTGCTGATGATCGATCGGTGCGAGCATCGATGGTGTTTCGAGATTGCGTTCTGCGACTGTTTGAGGAGCGTTACCTGGTAGACTTGGTTCCCATTCCATTGCGTGGGAACAAGGTGATTATTGGCATGGATTGGTTGAGCCCTAATGGGGCGGTGATAGACTGCGCGCAACAGCTAGTGCGAGTCAGGACCCCAAGCGGGGGAGAGTTAGTGATTCATGGCGAAAGGCCGCAGTGTGGACCCACTGTATGTTCAGCAGTGAGGGCTAGGCGCTATCTTCAGCAGGGATGCGCGGGATATGTCGCGTATGTGATGGATACCCGAGAGGCGGGTAAGGCGACTGTGAGCGAGGTTCCGGTGGTTTGAGATTTTGCAGATGTTTTCCCGGAGGAACTACCTGGGATACCTCCGGAGCGACAGGTGGAGTTCAGGATTGACCTTATTCCCGGTGCGGCTCCGATAGCCAAAGCACCGTATCGGTTGGCTCCTCCCGAGATGCAGGAGTTGTCTACGCAGCTGCAGGAGCTGCTAGACAAGGGATTCATTCGTCCGAGCAGTTCGCCTTGGGGAGCCCCGATTCTATTTGTGAAGAAGAAGGATGGGTCGCATCGGATGTGTATAGATTACCGGGAGTTGAACAAGGTGACGGTGAAGAACCATTACCCACACCTTGAGGATTGATGACCTCTTTGACCAG